GTAAGCCATATTATTCCTCAGAATTCAGTAGGGGGAAGGGGACTTTTTTTTATTTTTTATTTTTAAACAATTTTCCGACAGTAATTTTAAGGTGTACTATATCTTTTTTATTTTCCTTCTTTTCTTTCATTTTCGTTCGTTAATTGAAACTGTGCTTCCCCCTTCTTTTATGTCAGATATCTTTTGTCAAGATTTAAAAAAAAAAGAAAAGTTTTTTTCCTCACTATCAGTCTTTAAAAAAACCCTTTCTCTGTCACCTGAACCCTTTTTTATTTTTTTAATATCTTAATTACAAAATTCTCTTTTTAAGTTAGTGCTACTATATAGACTCGATACAGAGTTAAATCTATTCCACAAAGCATTGTCGATACCCATCTCCTGACTGCAATTCTATTTTTAACCTATCAAGACACTACACGAACAGGTCTCCTTCATCTAGAAGATTTTAGAAAGTGTTTTTAACATTTTACCGCACTGTATCCACCTTGTGAAAGACAGTTTCAAATCAAGTGTTATTTAGTGAATAATATCTTCGTGTAGATGGGTTTTTTTTTAAACCTGATCTATAATCAGCCTCACTTTACAGAGAGAGAAAGGCAGAAAGAGATTTGACACAGCAGAAGCAGATGCTATAAGAATATAAAAGGGGAAGCAGATCTTTATCAATAGATCTTAATATTACCATTATATTATTCATTTTAAGGTCTGAAAGCATTCTTAGATGGGGGTTGTGATGAGATAATTCACGTTTATAATTTCCATATCATGTTTCTGTTGTAAATCCAACTAAAATTGAGCTGTTTAAAGATTTTCACAAGGTAACTTTTTTTTTTTTTTTTTAAGACTTTACACAAAGTTTAATTTTACTGTAATTCATTAGTGTGTAGGAAAAATTATTTTTAAGAAATATTAATTCAACAGGCTTATGAATGAAGTTCAAACATCATGCTACAATTTTATCCCCTGTCTGAATAATCTGTCAGAGTTGCTATGCGGAACTATGTTTCTGGAGTTATATACGAGACACATTTATGAAACAGGAAATATATATTCATGGATTCTTATGTGAATTCATGGATTTTCTCTTAATGTTTTTTTTACGGAAATCTTATGGAAGATCACTAAGAGATATAAGACTGACATAGATTAAGAATAAGCTCTTATAGGCATGAAGAGAAAAAAAAGATTGTAATGCAACCCCCCCACCATACAGTGGGCCTAGCCACCTTGAAAATACCGCATTCAGAATTTATGAGTTTTACTCGTGTTTTAGTTAGATAAGAACATGTTAAAATCTACATTACTTACTCTCCCTTTCACACACACACACACACTATATATATATGTGTGTGTGTGTGTGTGTGTGTGTGTGTGTATAATAGTAGATAGGTTCACCTATCGCCAGGTTCACACTCCTCCCTGGTCTTTTGAACTGGAGTAGAGGTCTATCCCTTGTTTCCTGTTCCATCTAAAGTCTTTTCATTCTCTTTCACTCCCAGTAGCCCCTTGTGTCTTAGTGGCATTATTGCCTAGTTTGGGGCTGAAATGATTTATATATATATTAATGTGTGTGTGTGTGTGTGCATGCGTTAATGCATATTTGGGCAGCAACCTTTTTTTTATTTTATTTAAACATCATTCATTAAATAATATGGTAGACAAGGAAGATTTCATTAATTTTTTTTTATTCAGTTTTTCCAGCATTCTTACAGTTTTCCATTTGGTGGGAGTAATTTTTATTGTCCCAAGCACTTTCAACCACTTCTTTGACCATTTTTAAGGGGGTTTCCTCTCTGGTGTTGTTACAGAAAAGTGTAAGGATGCTGGAAAAACTAAAATTAAATCTTCCATGTCTGCCATATTTAATGAACAATTATATATATATATATATATATATATATATATATATATATAGAGAGAGAGAGAGAGAGAGAGAGGGAGAGAGAGAGAGAAAGAAAAACCTAAACTATCAATGGAGCCAATGGACAACTTGCAAAAAACCTAAAACTTATCCAGATAAAGTCTCAAACAGAAATGACAATACTGAAAAAAGGCCTAAAAGCAAACTTAGCTACTCAATAAAATGCTCAAAGCCTAGATTACCTGAACTGAGCAAAAAATACTTTCCAATGTTTATGAAAGGATGGCTCTAGTTGTAACCCAAGCTTCAGACGACTTGAACAGAAATGAAAGAAGGGAGGGATGTGCTTTGTAAAACCCGTGACCATAAATCACAACCCTAAAGCATATATAAGTACAGACAATCCTTAAAAATCTATATAGTTATAATGTATTTCATGAATATATACAAGCACTCATTTCTTCAGACTGAAGTTTTTAATAAAAAAAAAAAATTTTTATTAAAAAAAAACAAACTTCAGTCTGAAGATTTGAATATTTGTATATATTCATGAAATACATTATAACTGTATAGATTTTTAAGGATTGTACTTATTATAATAATAATAATAATATTGGTCTGATATTGAGCTCTCTTTGTGTCTTAGTGTCCTCCTTGGAATCATCTCTACTAATTATCAACAGATATTATTTTATATATATTTCTTTAAAAAAAAAAAGCTTCTTTGTTAAAGATTTTTTCTTAAATTTATTTTTACTTTATTTGTAAGCATTTTTCTAGTTTCTCATACGTATTTAAATATAACTTGTCCAATTGAGATTGTGCAGGAAAGTTCTCAGTCTAACCAACTTCCTTAAATCTGAACAGATATAAGAACTGTTATTTTTGGGAATCGCTTTTTGGTCAGTCTGATAATTTTTCAACAACCCCTTGTGTATACATGTAAGGAGTAGATAGGCTTACCTATCACCATTTTCACACACCTCCTTGGTCTTTTTAACAGAAAGAGAGGTTTTTCCCTCGTTTCCTGTTTAGAATCAGGTATCCGGTTCCTTCTGAAGTCTACTTTAACTCTATACTTCTGTTTCCGTCGGAACTCCAAAATTTGATTTATTAATTTTTTTTTTTCTTTCAATAGAAGTTGAGAAGTTTGCCTAATGCCCAGTTTGCACTTTTATCTTTTGAGCAGGAATCTACGTTTATTCTTTGTTCTCTGTCTAGGTTTCCAGTACCTTCTAAAATCTTTTCATTCTTTTTCCCTCCCAGTAGCCTCTTGCATCTTAGTGGCTTTGTTGCCTTGCTAGGGGTGAATTGATTAAATATATAGACCATTCAAAGTAAAGAGTTTGGTGTTGTATTTGAAGAAAAGAAGTAAAGTGCTTGGAAGCGATGCAGGAAAAATAATGGCTAACTTTAGATTTAATTAGTGAATAACATTTCAGAGCTCAGGCAAAGATGAGGGAAGTATAGTGTGGAAGTAGATTTTGGAAGGACCCAAAACCCAGTCTTAAACAGGCAACAAGGGATGAATGTCTACTCCTATTCAAAAGACCGGGGGAGAAGTGTGAACTGGACAATAGGCTAATCTATCTACTCTTGTATGTATATATGTATGTATGCATGCATGCATGTGTGAGTAAGAGAGAGAGAGAGAGAGAATGAGAGAGAGAGTATGTGTGTGTGTGAGTGAGTGAGAGAGAGAGAGAGAGAGTGTGTGTGTGAGAGATAGTGAAAGGCCAGACATGTGAATGAGAGAGAGTATGTGTGTGAGTGAGAGAGAAAGTGAGTGAGTTAGAGAGAGAGAGAGAGAGAGAGAGAGAGAGAGTATGTGTGTGTGTGAGTGAGTGAGAGAGAGAGAGAGTGTGTGAGAGAGTGTGTGTGTGAGTGAGTGAGATAGTGTGCACGTATGTGAATGAGAGAGAGTATGCGTGTGTGAGTGAGAGAGAAAGTGAGGAGTTAGAGAGAGAGAGAGAGAGTGAGAGAGAGAGAGTGTGTGTGTGTGAGGAGTGAGAGAAAGAGAGAGAGAGTGTGAGAGAGTGTGTGTGAGTGAGAGATAGTGTGCACGTATGTGAATGAGAGAGAGTATGCATGTGTGAGTGAGAGAGAAAGTGAGTGAGTTAGAGAGAGAGAGAGAGAGAGAGAGAGAGAGAGAGAGAGAGAGAGAGAGTCAACAAATTTATTTACTTTTTACTTTTATTTCAACACAGGCCATCAACATTGGCAGGTAATATGTAACTACCTCCGTTCCCATGCAAACCAGAAATACAGATAATCCCAACTTCAAATTTTCATTACTTTATTCAACAAATCGAAATTTGTCTTGCTAGACATCAACTTTCAATTTCTTTCATTATTTTTTTTAATTTTTTTGGCAACATTGTCTTTTTGCCAAGAGCTCTGAAAGTGTCAAACTCTCAAGCACTAAATTTTTTCAAATTATTCCAGATTGGTTTTTATCCTTGATTTATCTTTTTTCCTCAGCAGTAAGGATTAAGAATAAAAGTCAAATTTTATTATTTCATAAATAAAATTTAGATACCAAACTTTAATAAAATGCATTCATTTCTTTTTGGTAGGGTGGAGGAAATGATTTTGTGTGAGCAGCAGTCGAATCTGACTATGACTGACACTAGAGAATATACTCCTCATTCGATCTTTAGTCTATATTTAATAATATGTTGATTGTTATTTATTATGTCTCTTTATTAAATAACCCTTCGATTTTTCCCATGATGCATTATTTTGCTAAAATTACTAATCTTCCAGATGCATAGATTTTTTTTTCTATTGTACAAGGTTTTTTTTTTTCACTGAATTTAACTTCATTAATAATTCTAAGCAGTTTTCTTTGAGCAATTTTTAAAAAAATGAATGGTTTGCTTTTTACTTATGAACAATCTACTTTGAACTGCTTTTCTCTCTCTCTCTCTCTCTCTCTCTCTCTCTCTCTCTCTCTCTCAAACGTTTCTGAGAAACTGTCAGAGTTGGCTTTAAAAGAAACTGAGTTCTACGCGTGGGTGTATTGATTAATTTCAAGAGAGGGAAAGATTCAGGAAATATCAGAACTCTGCTTCATGGAACCGGCTTTGGTCAGCTGCTTGCAACTATGTACTCTAGAATCATTTTTTTTTTTTTAGAT